CAACATCAGGTATATTGCACAAATGCCTGGTAACTAATAAAGGTACCTTAACTTTTTTTTGTAAGGAAACTTGTTAGAGTGTCAATAATTTTTTGACAAATTCTTGGGAAAAATTATATTAATTTATTAAGGAATTGGGGTCTGAACTTGATTAAATTTAATTTAAAGTATAAATTTAATCAAGTACATGGCGATTTCATACCATAAGAACGTTTGATATATTGTGTTATCAATTACGACATATATTATGTAATCACGGTTTACATATTAATCATATTCATAATTCGGTTTCATTCTTTTTGAATTTTTGACACAGATAATAAGTTGTTTATTAATAATTTTATGGATTTTATGATCAATTATTACATAAGTAATTACAAGTATTTTCTATAATTAAAGTCACATTATATACTGGCAAAGTGCAACATACCTAAATGTCTTGTTGTTTATGAGAATGGAGAGTGAAGGCGTTTTCTTGAAATACTGCGATAGTACAATAAGTGTGAGTGGGTTCACGACAGTACACGAAAATGTTAATGAACGAGAAGTTCCACAAATTAGTTATTATGTCAAAATGAATTTGCATTGGAGATGTACATAAATTAATTTATTAAGGAACTTGTCGTCTTATCCTAAGTGAGTGATTTAATTTTGGCATAATCAGCGAGGGTGCTGATATCGCAAAAAATTAATTGAGTTTTATTTGTAATATGTTCTAATGTGAGAGTATTTTAAAATCGCTAAAATTATATCTCACTAAAAATAAAATACCATTTTTTAAGAATTGCGTCTCGCTAAGATATCCACATATACGGTATGCAAATATCTTCTGAAAATATACAATCAAGACCTTATATTTTATACTGAATGAAGGGGATAAATGTCAAAACATTTTATGCCATCTATTTTAATTCTTCTGTCCTTCCTCCAATATGATTAATGCACAGATTGAACTGAGATAATTGTATGATATGATAATGATGATAATGATATGATATAATATATATATAATGTCCAGTCAGTTAAATGCAATTTAATCTCACCAGTTTATAGCGTCTGCATGGCCCACCATCTGCCCCAATGACATTTGTGCTGTTCCTTTCGTACATGTAGCAAGTTTCAGTAATGCTATTATAACAGAAGTCGAAGGAATAACAGTTGCTGTTCTGTATACACGAGGAAAAGCAGTGACTGATTGTCACTTCCTTACTAGCAAAATCAGCAGCGACTGGAGTGGGGAATGGCCAACAAATTCGAAATGAGACTCTAAGTATTCTCCATGACTGAATGCAATAACCAGGGGGAAAAATATAATTGTCATTTACTGCATTTTCAGTGCATAGGCTTGTATTGCCATTTCTTTTTAGATGCCCAATTTCTAGGATATTCCGACTTTTTAAATTAGTTGATTAACAAGAAGACTGCAGCGCTCACCAGAGTCTCGTGTATTTTGATAAAAGTTGATTATCCAGAAAAAATTCTTTATTTTCCTTAAGACATCACAAACATATCCATTAATTTCGGCTAGTCGGTGGTACTTTATTAAAAGCAATGAAAATAAGAAAATGTCATCGATCTCAATTTTTTTCACAAAACAAATTTGTGACCAGAGCATTAGACACGTGACGTCTGGAATTTCAGTTGTGTAACCAGGTTTTAAGCGCCACGCCCTCTGTTTGCCTTATGATGTAATAATGTAGAAGGAATAATAGGTAATTAAATTTTGCTGTAAAAATAATTTTTCTAACAACTGGTACAAAACATAATCGTCAAACGAATTATCCAAACTACAGGTTGTCTTTACAAACAAAGTCATTATAAAGACCAAAGAACTATCTAAATATTAACTTTACAAAGTTATTGAAATTCCTCTATTATGAAATATTTGCTATCAACAAAAAAACCAATGGGACATTTTTACTTATTTTTTTAAAGACATCCGACAACTGGCATCGGACTTTTCACTTAAGGGAATGTTTCAAAAAATAATTTGATTGATACAGATAAAATATGTATTTTTTATTAAACTCGATAATCACAAATCGTTCTAAATTGTACTAGATATAACAGTGTATATGTAATATATAGAGTACCTTTTAACTCGTGCATCTTCAGATATCAGACGAGGGGACTTGTCCCCCGAGTCTGATATTTGAAGAAGCACGAGTTAAAAAGTACTTTATTGTTTTGTATCATTGTTACCAGGAACTAAGTTACGCATGATCTGTCACTTTTACGTTAATAGCACGTAGTTCAACTGTATTCTCACGCACTGAATTTGCCATGATCTATCAAAATTTCATATGATCATTAAAAAAGAAGCAAGTGATTCGAGAGAAAGTAGACGGCGCTGTATTTCTTAAACTTTAGAACTATCTCGCACATATGTTGCAAATATTTTTATTGAGTAATTTTATGTGGAGAGTACATGAATTTAAAGAAATTACAGAAGTGCTCTAGAATAAACATTATCTATGAAGAAATGCTCAATATTCCTTTAGCCTCATCATCATTCGTGTTGAGCTCATAACATGAGAAAATGTATTATTCCAGTAGTGCCACGTTAATCCTTGATATCCAACACTTCCATACAACCCGTTCAGATTGCTGAGCCCACAATACACATGCCACCAACCACTACGCCACAACGTAGCACAATCATAATCCTTTGCGATATCATTATCCATGTCATATGTAGAAAAGTTATATCCATTATGAGCACCTAAGCTGTCAGCTGAATAATAAAGAAGTGCAAAAATAAAGAAATGTCCCTTATCAAAGTTAATCATTGCTAAATTGTAAAGAATTAAATTTATACTAATTAAATGAATTAAAGAGATTATTCTATATGGCATTGTAAAGATGTTCTGAAACATTATCTTTCCTTTAAATACAATAAACAAATGTTATTCTAAGTCACAAGTACACTCAGTTTAAAGAAAAATATACACTTTTCCATGATATCGAAAAATGAAAGCCTGACTAATTTACATCTGTAGCAGGACTTCATCACATCGAAATAAAAGAGAATTTCTTTTTTTTTTTTTTACTGGAGAAATGCAGATCAATCAACAAAGATACATGTAAATTGCTTTGAAATCATCCTTCTCTGTGAGCATAATGCTATTATAAATATCACCTAAACTTAAAATTTTAAAATCTTCATGAATGACATGAATGTGTATAATCTATGAACTTACAAGCATTTCCAGTATATCCTGTGATGTACAAAGTATATAAAGATTCAGGACTTCCAACCGAGTCGGAGTACTTGGCATAACGGTATTCTCCTGTTTGGTCTGTCAATTCGATTCTGAGCTCAAAATTTCTGTCTCCACTTATCTCATATAGAGCTTGATTACCTGTGATATAATTGACATATTAATTAGATTTGAAAACAATTACATATACATGTTTTTTTTTTAGCAAAATCGATAAATACACCTAAATAAATGAATAGACTAATAAAATAAATATATAGATAAAACTTCAGCGGAAGATGGAAAATCGGCTCAAAATGAGATTAATTTATGAAAGTTAGTGCTTCATCATTAAAATGCTTATTTATTTTATTAATTGAATACACGAGTTTTTCTAGTGGTAGCGTATCCCGATAAAATGTCTTAACATTATTACTGTACAAAATATATATCTAATGTTTTAAAACTCATTTTAAATTCCCTATGTATACCTAAATAGAATTCTGTATCCATAGTCCCAAATCCATCGGAGTACTCATTCCAGTTTCTGTAAAAATCGACACTGCCATCCATACGCTTTTGAAAGACCTGTCATTTGAATGTTAGCAAAGCATATTAATTTGAATATCATATAATCATTTATATTGCATCTAATACGATCAAGTTGAAACAGAAATTTAACCAAATTACTGATATCAAAAATTTTCATATATTTTTATTTTGAAATATAATGTTCTACTTCTACATTGCTGCATACATTAAAAGAAGGAGGTGTACTTTGTTTCCATTATACTATCTTCCGATTTGAAAATCTGAGTTTTCCAAATTATCATTCCGAGTTTTCTCAAACTGCATTCATTTCATTTACATTCAAGTTATTCTTAAATAATCATGTATAGCTATGACAGTTATTAAAAGATTTTTCAAAGTATAGATCATTTCAAGAAAGAAATTAAAGAATTAAGCAAATGTTAAAAAAATATTTTTCCTACAATCCATCGGCCTCCATCAGTTGTCATATCGCAAAACAGATTGCAAGTTTTACCATTTGTTAACGTTATCGACTATTCATATGAAGATGTTGATGGAGAAATCAAATTTCCACTGCAACCTTTAATCAACACAATTAATTTTTATAAGGTATCACTTAGTTTCTAATAAATATAAAAAAACAATGGAAAATTAATACGACTTGTAGAATCTTACCAAATTTTAAATTACATCTCTCTCCTCCACGATTTTCAGGACATCTACAGGGGTGTGTCAAATCTCCTTCACACAACTGTTTCTGTATATTATTAAATAGTAAATCTTATTTCATCATGATATTTATACATGTTGAAAATTTATTTGTGCATTAACCGTCCCTCTGTGCGTTTATCTGTAGTTCTATTTGAGTGTAACATTTTCGTTTCCACTTGATATCTCAAAAAACCTCTGAGTTTTTGCAGTTAAATTTTACACAATAACCTAACTAAGAAACCTAAGCTATTGAGCTTGAATTTAAAAGTTCAAACATCAAGGTCATAAATTCATATATTCTGTACGTCCGTAAACGTGCGATATCCCGAGAAACGTTCGAGGTTTTGCTATGAATATTTGCATTGTTCATTTATATCATAAATCCATAGGGCCTAAAGAGGACCCCAATTAATTTGGAGGTCAGAAAGACAACAACAACTTGAAAATCAACAGTCTCGGAAAAATCTACAATACTTATTATTTCAGTGCAATTTTTACAGCGAATATAAAGAAATAAACCTAAACTATTGGGCAAAAAATAGAAAAATCGTTAGAAAAATTAAAAAAAAAAAGAATTTCGAAAACTGTCGAAATTGTATGTTTTAACAATATAAACTCGTCCACTTTTTAATTGGAAAATATACTTTTTAAATAAAAAATTCAATTATAAGTCATATTATCAATGATCAATGGTTATCTTATTTTTCTTAGAATGAATACATGTAGATTCGATGCTTAATCAACTGGACATACATATTTGAGAAGATGAGATCAAATATATACAAGAGGCCCATGGGCCACATCGCTCACCTGAGAAGCTTTGACCATTCTGTTCTTTACCAGATTTCCCCCTTGTAATACATAATGCATCCTCACCCTACCCCACTGATCATAATTTAGACATTTTGAAATCTACACTACCCCAGGATCCTTCCATGTGCACATAAGTTTCAGCTTTTCTGGCCCAGTGGTTCTTGAGAAGATTTTCAAAGATTTTTCCTATATATTTCTATGTAAAACTTTGATTACCCATTGTGGCCCCACCCTTCCCCCGGGGGTCATGATTTGAACAATTTAGAATCTACACTACCCCAGGATGCTTCCACATAAGTTTCAGCTTTTCTGGCCCAGTGGTTCTTGAGAAGAAGATTTTTTAATGACCCAACCCTATTTTTGACTTTTCTTGATTATCTCCCCTTGTGAGGGGACTTGGCCCTTTATTTTAACAATTTGAATTTCCCTTCACCGAAGGATGCTTTGTACCAAGTTTGGTCAAAATTGGCCCAGTAGTTCTTGAGAAGAAGTCGAAAATGTGAAAAGTTTACAGACGGACAGACGGACAGACAGACGACGGACAAAATGTGATCTGAAAAGCTCACTTGAGCCTTCAGCTCAGGTGAGCTGATAATATCAACATGACACATGCAGATACTGACCTTATAATAAGACCAAAAAGTCCCAGCAACGTTTCAACAACAGAATTAAAAATCATTAAAAATCTTAAAACGGCTTTAGATTTTTAACTTTATAAAAATCTTCCGAGGCAAATGCTCTCTCAAACACCTAAAATTTACTCTTATATATTTTCATACACAGTTTGTCTGACTATTATCGTGGTTTCGGGGTGATCAGTTTCTGTTTTGTCTACACAGATGTCTATATCAGTTCTGGTGTATCGCTCTGGGAAGACAAATAGGAAGGCCAATCCTATAGCTACACTGCCCACCAAAGTCCAGTTCATCCAATCTGTGCCTACAAATAATATCAAGACTTCCCTTAATGCATACATGTATGTGGATAAATATCTCAACTTTCATTTTTAATTTCATAAATATGTACTTAAGTTAAACAAATCCAGTGTCATATATGAAGAATATCTTATTTTCAATCAAGCAGGGCAAAGATGGTACAGTTCATTTTGCAAAGAGTCATTTTTTAAAAAATCTTCCAAATTCCAAAAATCCGATTCACAGATTATTAACATGTCAACAAAGAATAACTACATATATACAGTTTTAAATGAGAAAAGTTTATGTTGACACCCACCTATACCAGGTATTTGTAGCATGAACAAGAAAAGAATTCCAAACATGTTGTTGAGCCATGTCAGAAAACCCCCAACCACTCCCTCCGATACAGGGAAAGCAGATTCTGCCCCCAGTTCATAAAACAGGGGGATAGCACCATTCAGAAACATCCCTCCCATAATGTTGGAGATGTACACTTGTACTAAAATGTATAAATATGCATATATACATGTATAATAAACTTAATACCCCATGGATACAGAGCAAAATTCAAAACTGATTTATAAAACTGTGCTGAATTATCTAGGACTGCAATGAAGCAATCTTAACTGCATCTTCTTAGAATGTTCAAAATTGCTTAAACTAGCATAATTAAGATAAGTATATACGTATTATTTTCTCATAATCCATATTTAATATAAAAGCTTCAAATACTATTTGAAAAGTTAATGTTGATAGTAATATACATGAATTGATATAAATATTAAGGCAAAAAAATTATAAGTATGTGTAGAATAAATTCTTTATTGTACCAGTCAATAGTGTAAATATTATGCATTTAATTTTGAATATGCTGAAAGTCCACATTGAAATATATCAGGAATGATTAATAAATTACAATAACTGTAAATATAATACTGTATATTGAAAACAAACTTACTACACCATCTGTTTAAGAGATGTAAATATTTAGTTCAAATCCAAATAAAAATAATTTTTGTTGAAAAATTTAAAATATTTGCACACAAAAGATTGATTTCCTTGTCTTTAAACTTGTCAGCTATATTATACCTGTGGAGAGAGGTATAACCTTGACACACATTAGGGTAAACCACACAAAAGATCCTCCAGCTACACCAAACATTATCAAGAGGAAGAGCTTCATATGCCGCATAAACACATCTGAAAATCTGTCATCAATTAGGATTAGAGAATGTTCTCATCAGGTCAGTTTTATATTTCTACATAAATTCAATACATTTAGTTACCTTCCAATGGCTAGACCTGAGACACAACCTGCCATTATAGAGTAAAACCCAATCCATCCAACCTCAGTCTGTAAAACAAATATATTTCATAACAGTATCAGTACATTGAATTCAAGCAATCTTGAAGTTTATTTATAAGTATACATATATAAATATTTATTATTAACATACAATTTTGTTAAATTCTTACCTGTTCAATTCCTACAGGTTTCAGTATAACATCAATGACTGCTCCCCATACCCCATATACCCCTGCTGGTAAAGCATAAGCCAGTCCTATTAACCACACTGCTCTGTTTCTGTGAAGATAATAAATATAAGGAATATGTACCTTTAACATGAGATATTACATTTAAATTAGGGCTATGTCTCGTATTAAAAGTCGATAATGTTCATTTTATTGCAAAAAGAATATGACTTTAATTTGTCGGGAAAACCATGTGAACCTTTTAAAGCATAGTGATACATGTAACTAAGTCTTTTAGGAATAAGGAAAACTGTCCAATTACAGTATACGTATGCCTGTTATGCCCCCTCCACCTAGATGCTTTTCATTCACTTTATATTTTTGTAAAATAAACACGCCCTCCTGATGGTATTGTTAAAAAATTATTTCGTGCTGCAATGCATTTTTAAAGCCTTTTTGCAATTACAATTGCAATTACCGATGAACTCACCAATTTGTAGCGCCGACACGGCCCATCGCCTCCCTCAATAGTACTTGTTCTGTTTCTGTCGTACTGGTAGCAAGTCAGTGTCCACTATTACCACAAAAGTCGAAATGATAACAGTTGGTGTTCTGTATTCACGACAAAAAGCAGTGACTTAATGTCACTTCCTTACTCACAGAATCAGCATCGACTGGAGTGGGGACATGGCCAACAAATTCGAAATGAGACTCTAAGTATTCTCCGTAAATGAATGCAAGAACCAGGAGTAAAGTTATATTTGTCATTAACTGCATTTTCAATGCATATGCCTGTATTGCAATTTCTAAAATGTCCAGTTTCCAGAAGATTCCTTTTTAAATTTCACTGAATCCGGATCCGATGTCTCTTCTTAACAATTCATTAGAAAAACACCTTTTCCTTAAGTCAACCCCTTAATAGCTATTAATTTTAGCGATTCGATAGTGCCTTATTAAAAGCAATAAAGATAAAAAAAAATAGATCAATCTCTTTATTTTTACAATACAAATTTTTCTTCAGAACAAAAAACTCGAGCACCTGGAAATTTCATTTGTTTAACCAGGTGCTTTGAGAGTCACGCCCCTCGTTTGCCTGATGTTATAATAATGCAGAAAGAATAATTAGGAATCAAGTTTCTAAATAAAGATAAATTAGCTATATTTTCTTTTTAATAGATTTCAGTCGAAATATGACCCATTTACATGTTGCTTTCACAAACAAGGTCATTATAACATCGAAGAACTTTCTTAAAATTGATTTTAAATAAGGTTATTGAAGTTCCTCTAATACAATATAAACTATTTGATGTCAAAAAAAACCGAACCACTTTTTTTATTTACATATTCTATATCACAAAATTATTATTTTATTGATCCAGTATACAATGATTAATATTCATGCTCATTGTGATACCAAATACACTTCGACATCTAGTAAAAACGATATTAAAAAAATCTACACTACACGAGGCTGTTTGGATTTTGTAACCTTGTGGTATAGAGAAAAGATATTTCTAAAAAGGTTTACATTGTTTCATATTTATCTTGTGAATCAGGTTCCATTTTAACCTTGAAAAAGACTTATGAACGGAAAAGTTAAATTAATGCTGGAGTGTGAGTAAAAATATTTCCCAGCTACAGCAACATTGATAAGCCTCCTCGGGATCAAAATACTGCCCTTCATTCTGCAATTATCTATGTCTCAAATGCGATGGCCAAGTTTGAATGTTCAATCATTTATGATTATTTCAATAAACTTTAAAAAGCAAATAAATAAATTGAAACTTCTTAAATTCCCATTCGTTATGAAACAAATGAGAAGAAATAAATATTAAAGACCCAAAACAATTAAAGCTGAAAATGTTTTAAGAACTTAGTTTTACGTCCCCATTAAGTCTGTGGAAAAATATTAGCAGAATATATTTTAAATTTTAAAGGTTTGCAATTTCATAAAACTTCTTACAATGAGTATGAACGTTTATAAACTATTATTGTAAAAGTGATTCAAAAGATTCGTTACAGCAGTACATTCAAAGGTATAAATATATATATAAACCTACCCACGTTGTTTAGCAATAGTACAAAGTAGGCCGCATATATGACTTTTTAATTTTT